GACTCTGAATTGTATGAAAAGCATTTTTTAATTACGAATATAAATTTTTAATTATCATTTCTTTGACTATTTAAGTCATATGTATAGGTGGCTAGATCATATATCTTTATGATTCTGAATCTTGAAATATTTACTGAGTTGTGATCTATATGGTCAACTCAGGTAACTATTTATATATTCTTGACAAATGTGTATTTCCAGTTTATACACACATACACACAAGAGCATCATGTGTATATATGTAGTACATATATATGCTATACATAAATATCTAACATCTGTCACATTATTACATTTTATATTTGTTCTTCAAATGCTCATGTCCTGAATCATTATTTTGTCTGTTTAGATTTATATTATACAAGTATGCTGGTATTTGCATTTATTTATGACATCTCATTCCGTATTTTCTCTCTATTTCCACTGTTGTATGTTATTTTCCAGTTTTTTGTTATCTTTTAACGTATTCTTATTACTTGGTGTTTACTATTTCTTAAAGTATTCTTTAGGTGATACCTTTTATATAACAATATTATGGAGAGTAGTAATAATACTGAATTGGTAGTGGCTGGTCTAGCCATAACATTTTCCAAATTATTGCCTGTAACTATGGAACAATTAATTATAATTATTTATTTTATCAAAATTAAAATTTGTGCGTCAAAGGGTATCATTAAGAATGTAAGTAAAATAGGTGGAAATACAATCTGATGAATGATCATCTTGATGTTTTCAAAGGCAATGTGTCTTGCTGGTCTAAATCAACCCATTTAGAATGGAAGAAAATATAAAAATCATATATCTGGCTCCTTGTGGTGGCTCTGGCCTGTAATTCCAGCACTCTGGGAGGCCAAGGCGGGCGGTTCATTTGAGATCGTAGGTTCAAGACCAGCCTGAGCAAGAGCAAGACTCTGTCTCTATTAAAAACATAAATAGAAATAGCTGGACAACTAAAAATATACATAAAAAAATTAGCAGAGCATGGTGGCACATGCCTGTAGTCCCAACTACATGGGAGGTTTATGCAGTATGATTGCTTGAGCCCAGGAGTTTGAGGTTGCAGTGAGTTAAGCTGATACCATGGCACTGTAGCCTGGGCAACAGAGTAAGAGTCTGTCTCAAAATAAATAAATAAATAAATACATAAAATAAAAATGATATATCTGATAAGGGATTTATCACAATATATAAGTTTAAAAAATCATTAATAAAATAAATTAAAATCAACAAAGTGTCAGAAATATTGAAATAGAACTTTCTCCAAGGAAGATTGGTGAAAGACGCGCTGGGGCAGACAGGACGTCTCTCACTTTGCCTCCTGCTCTTCCTGCTTCCTGGAGTCATGTGCCTGGGTGGGGGCTCCAGTGAAAAGAGGCCCCGG